AGGCCCTGCGGGCTGAGTGCAACATCTGCAAGTCTGCCGCCAGCTCTTGTACAGATGCGCTCTCTGAAGAGTGTAGAAGCCCCGGAGACTGCTGCCCGACCCCAGGTCTCACCTCCTGCTTCTCTACTTCACGCCTCTAGCACTGCTGTCTGCTTTTAGCCACCAGGAGGCTCGGTTCCTGATCCCCCTTCTAGTCCCCCTGGGTCCTGCTTTGTAGTCCACAGACTCAGCCTGTGCCCTGCAAGGGCACCCTGGTCCTCTTCAATGCCCTGGGCGCCCTCTTCTTCGGCTGCCTGCACCAGGGGGGCGTCGTGCCCGGCCTGGAGCACCTGGAGCGGGTGGTTCATGCGCCTGTGCTCCCGAACGTACCTACCCACTACACACTCCTCTTCACCCACACCTACATGCCCCCGCGGCACCTCCTACACCTCCCAGCGCCGGGGTCCCTTGTGGAGGTGATGGAAATGGGTGGGTCTGAGGATCCGGTCCTGTGCCAAACCCTGAACAACTTCACCAGACAACCGGCCTGCCAGGTGGCCGGTGGGCCGTGGCTCTGCCGCCTTTTTGTGGTGACGCCCGGCACCACCAGGCCTGCCACGGAGAAGTGCAGCTTTCCCCTCAAGAGTGAGACCCTTGTGTTTCCCCACTTGACCCTCGAGGACCCACCGGCCATGTCCTCCCTGCTGAGTGGGGCTTGGAGGGACCATCTCAGCCTTCACATCCTAGAGCTGGGGGAGAAGCCCGACAACACGACAGAGAATCCGTGGCCGTAGATGAAGGCCCCACTCCACCTTCTCTTTGGGAAGCTGGGCTGGGACAGAGTCTGACTCTCTCCGTTCCCTTCCCTTCCAGAATTCCCACCACTGCCTCTCTTGTCCACAGCCCTTGCTTTACTTTCTGGGTAATCTGGCACCCTTCTCCCCTCAAAGACCAAAGATCTGACCAGTCACAGTCCTGATTCCAAGGTCCTGATGCCCCCAAAAATCTGTATAACCAATTGGTCCCTAATGTTGGTCCCTGCCCTATTCCTTCCAGAAACTGTGATGTTTTAAATATATAATAGCACCTTGTGAAGAACAACGATCTGAGAGTGACATTCTTGACTGACCTCCAAACCTTCCAGGATGCCTTACCTCTTGATGTCATGACAACCCTTTGCTTCCTAGACACCTGGAAGGAGGCAGTGTGGGGATGGAGAGGGAGTAGGCAGTGCAGATTCAGGGGACCTGAGTTCTAGTCCCTGGTCTGCCATTCACTGTGTGATCTTAAGAAAGCTCCTTGCCCTAACCGGTTTGGCTCAGCGAATAGAGCGTCAGCCTACGGACTCAAGGGTCCCAGGTTCAATTCTGGTCAAGGGCATGTACCTTGGTTGCGGGCACATACCCACTGGGTGTGTGCAGGAGGCAGCTGATCGATGTTTCTAACTCTCTATCCCTCTCCCTTCCTCTCTGTAAAAACTCAAAAAAAATATATTTAAAAAAAAAAAAGCTCCTTCCCCTCCCCCAGCCTGTTTCTAGCCTGTACAATGGATCAGAGCATCTCTGAGGTGTCTGCCAGCTAACACTGAGTCATTCCTGGGTTTGCAGCACATGTGCCCTGGCTAGACAGGCTCTTTAAGCATGGAAGTGAGTGTGGTGGTATATTTAATTGCACTTTGGTGTCTGCCATCTTAGTGTTTGTTTGTTGTTGTTGTTTCTTAAATTAAAAAAATATTTTTATTGATTTCAGAGAGGAAGGGAGGAGAGATAGAAACATCAATGATGAGAGAGAATTATTTTATTTTATTTTTTTAAATATATTTTTATTGATTTCAGAAAGGAAGGGAGAGGGAGAGATAGAAACATCAATGAGAGAGAATCACTGATTGGAAGCTTCCTGCACCCCCCCCCCCCCCCCCCCGGGGATCGAGCCCGAAACCTGGCATGTGCCCTTAACTGGAATCGAACCGAGGACCCTTCAGTCCATAGGCTGACACTCTATCCACTGAGCCAAACCAGCCAGGGCAAACTGATACACTTTAAAGCGACTGTGGAAGGGCAGCAAAAGTAGTGGAATGTACTAGGCCCAACCAAGGTAATGGCACAGGTGTGCAGAGACCAGGACAAACAGCTTTATTTGGATTGAGAATTGGAGAATGTGGGGAGGACCTAAAAATAGCATACTGAACTAAAGAATAGAGATTAAATTCCAAAATGGCAGTCAGAACTCATCAACAAATGGACTCTACTTCCCAGCAGCCTTGCAGTTAGTGCAATCAATTAAAGGTCTGCAGGGAAATGTATTTGCCATTAAATTGGCCAAGCATGCCACAATTAAAAAAAAAAAGTAGTTTGTTTTTCTCCCACAATTAAGTTTCCACAACACCTCCCCAACTACAAATATTACAAAAGAAAGTTAAAAATCCTATTTTCTAGATCTTTAGACTTATTTTCAGCATTTAGCTCAAAGGTTTCACCGTCTTCAAAAAATAGTTCTTAAACCTCATCAGCTAAAAGCTCTATCCAAGCACTGTGAAGATGGCCTTTGTTAGCCCATGGCAATTCTTTTCCCATTTCCCCTAAGCAGTTAGGGCTGAACAGCAGAGTGAGTCTCAGATTGGGGTAGAGGGGTAGGGGAGCACAATCGCTAATTTTCCCCAGTGCAAGATGGCATTGAAGCTTGATGGAAGAGCAGAACTGGAGAGACTTGAAGGTAGGGTCCAGACCCTGTATTCAGTCAGAGTCACTGCTGGAAGAGGAGGAGGAGGAGTGCTTGCCATGCTTATGGTGCGCCTGCGACTTTTTTTGAGCTTTCTTCATTTTCTTCCGAATCTTCTTGTCCGTCACCATTCCTGGTGCTACCATGCCAGGAGCCAAGGGATTAATAGGAGGCATGCCAGGGGCAGGTGGTGGATATGGAGGGGGATAGGGGCCTGATGGTTGGTATCCTGGATATGCTGGTGGTGGCACAGGATAAGGGGGCCCGACTGGGGGGAAAGCTGGATTCCCCTGGGGAGCTCCTGGGGGAGTGGGAAAGGGGCCAAGGGGAGTAGGAAACGGGCCCGGAGGAAAGGCAGGATTGGAACCTCCAGGGTACCCGACATTAGGGGGATATGGATTTGGCCCTGGCTGCCCGGCACTGGGATTCCACATGGTCAGGTGTTCGCTACAGCCTTTACAACACCACCTGGGCTCGGCTCGAGAGAGAATTATTGATGGGATGCCTCCTGCACACCCCACACTGGGGATCCAGCCCAAAACCCAGCATGTACCCTGACCAGGAATTGAACCGTGACCTCCTGGTTCATAGGTCAACACCCAACCACTGTCCCACACTGGCCGGGCTGTTGTTTTTTAACCAAAAAAGGAGTTCTGGAATATTTCTCTCCTCTCCCTTCTACTCCTGTCCCTGAACGGCAGTGGGACATTTCAGCATCTCATCCTTTAAGGATCATTCTCCCTCTAGGGATCATTTCCCCTCCTCAGCCTGGCCCAGTGAGAGTGGAGAACACAGAGCTCAGTCAGCATCTAGCAGCACTTGAGGATACACAGGTGCCCCCAGAAGCCTTTCTTTATAAATGTGATCTGGTCCCTCTGCAAGCGCAAAGCCCTCTTCACAGGATGGAGAGCAAACCCCAGGCCAAAGCAGCACCTGTTGCTTTGATGGAAGCCATCGCACCCCTGAGCCTGTTGCTCCCAACACAGGTACCCTCTACCCAGTCCACTGGGAACATGAGGAACTGAGGCTCTACACCTGTCCTCATCCCCCTCCTCACACCTCTGCCCTCTCATGAGAACAAGAGGCTGACAGGCCACAGAGATCAGTGAGCTGGAGGTCAGCACAGAGCAGGAGACCAAACCTGTACAAATGACCAAACCTGAGTCCTTTCCTAGTTCTGCCTTCTGCTGGCTAAAGCCGTGGGTCATCTTAAAGTTACACCCTTCACAAGTATGCTGTTCTATGACTGCTACTAGGGTCTTAGTGCCACATCTTCCTCATGACTCCAACCCAAGGAAGAGGAAATTCAGTGGTACACTGCTAAATGTGTAGCAATGTTCTCTCGGGGGCAAAAAAAAGTGCCCCAATTTGTAGCATTTGCCAATTTCTGTGGTGTCAATATTCCCACATGGCTGATTTCAAACTACAAAATGATGTTACTGAACTCCAAGTTGGGAGGAGATGACAAGGATCTACTCATGAAACAGTATACGCTGTCCCCAGCACACTATCAGAGACCCATTCATGACAACTCATTGTTCTTCTGGTTCATGTTTCTGCTATGAACCTCTCATTTGTCTTCCTACCCCTTATTACTTTGCATCATCTCTGGCAAATGATAAGCACTTACATTGCAGCCAAAGATGGCATTTCTGTCCATAAATATAAAACCAAAGGCCACCTTGGAGACATCCAAGACTCTAGGGTCCCAAACTCCTCTGGGCTTCTGTCTCTTCTCTTCCCCATTTGGATCGACAACCATGAACTCGCTGGAGAAACTGTTGGTATGGCAGTCCATGTAGATTGTGGTGGTCTGAGCTCTAAATTTGTCTGTAAAGGGTGTGTATCTGTGTGGCATCAAAAGGTGAGTTGGAATTGCCCTGCAGGATGAGGGGATGAATTGCTTCCCTTTTAGGCAGAGCTTAGAATCTGAAAGGCATGCTAGGAGACTGTTGTCAATGGGAAGAATTTGGTCTGTTTCTTTTCTTTTTAAAATGTTTTTATTGATTTTAGAGAGAGGAAGGGAGAGGGGTATATATATCAACATCAATCAGCTGCCTCCTGCACACCCCCTACTGGGGATCGAGCCTGAGACTGGGGCATGTGCCTTGACTGGGAATCTCTTGGTTCATGGGTTGATGCTCAACCACTGAGCAATAGCAGTCAGGCCTGGTCTGTTTCTTTAGTAACAGGGTAACTGGTGAGAAGGCAAGCCACTGACTACAAACACTGGAGGCGTTTACAATGAAGTGGGGAGGCATCTAGTAGGAGCAGAAAGGACCCAGTTTTCTCTGCTCCCAGACTCCTACAGAAATGAGGGTGCGTGTATGTGTGTGTGACTTAATTCTTATCCACTCCTTCCACAAAAATTAATTCTCTTGATTTCCCTTCTTTCTTACTAAATGGCCAGTTTGTCTAGAAATTTCATTGTTTCCTGCACTTCTTCCCTTTTTGTCTCTTCTAGAAAAAAACACTGAGTATGGTATTTATGTTGAGGTATGGATTTGGGCTGGGGACTGCTAATATTGTGCTACTCTGATATCCAGAGACCGATGGGTGGGACTGAGGCCCATGAGGCAGACAAGACAGTAGATTGAACAAGCTCTTTAGGCTCATCACTGCCAGGCTCCAAGGAAAATCCAACGAGTGGCCTCTAGCTGGGAGAACGATTTCTCCTCTGATGGGAGAGGAGGGTAGGATGCCAAACCAGGTCTTTGGTCATTAGGGGATGGGACTTCTGGCCTCAAAGAGGATCACACAGCACCTCTGATGGGAAGACTGGGGGATGGGATGCCCAGTGAGAAGTCTGACCATAAGGAAAGTGGAGGACAAGCTACTTTAGCTCCTCCATCCCCAGGGCAGGTCTCCGGCCCTCTCCAGCTTCCTGTGACTATCAGAAAAGCCAGAGTATAAATTCTGTTTGGTTACCCGCCAGTCTAAAAGCTTCTCCTGTGGCTCTGAGCTTTCTGATTGAATAACTGTGTAGCCTACCCAGAGGTGATCAGAAATTCAGTCAGAAGCCTCAAATGACCTGACCCTCTAAAATGGGAAACAGGAATCCAGGTAGCTTGTTCCTTCGTAGGCAGCAGTCCTAACACCCAGCGGTGACGTAAGGAGTGGGAAGGCAGGCATCGAAGATCAGGCCTGGTTAATGCCATGGAAAGCTGAATATGGACTTGGGACCTGGAGTTAAGCACCTGTATTCACATCCAGCTCCGTAAGGCCATGGGCAACTTAAGTAGCCTACCTTTCCCTATAAATGTTAAGGATTAAATGAGATAACCCATTCAGAGTGCAATTGGCAAGTGCCAACACAGAGTAAGCACTCAATGTGTGTTAACTACCGTCCGAGGAATCCTAGTCCACCCTGCGGATGGGAGAAGTACCACACTCATACCCGTTTCTCAGCTCGCACATTTAATCAGAGGGTTTTGGCGTCTACGGGGTTGTCTTTCCATCCATGATCTCCGCTGGAAGCAGAGCCCCACTGCATCAGAGCAGAGGCAGCAGCATCCATCAGGAGTTTTAGTCTCCTACGCGGAGGGCAGGCTCTCCTTCGGGCTGTGGCACGGTCCATGGCTCTGCAGGTGGTGGGTCGGGGCCCAGCTTATCTTCATTTCTGTTAGGCTTCGGGGCTCCCTTCACTCCCTGCCCCTGTCCGCTCTCAGGGCTCACCGGGTGTGCCCGCCTGGCCTGGGCTCTCTGATGCGTGGAGCTCTGCAGGCCGACAGGAGTCAGGAGGAGAAGCCGTGCGCGGGGCTGGGGATGACTCCTTAGCGCCGAGGCCCGTGTCCAGCCGGAAGGGAGAGGGGCGACCTCGGCCCGGCCCGGCCCAGCCCGGGGTTAGTGGTTTGCTCCCGGGCCCCCCTGGCTACCTGGTGGTGGTCCCGGGCGCTCGCGGAGCCCGCGGCGGAGCTCCCGAGTGAAGGTGTCTTTGAAGCGGGCAGCGCGGCGACCCAGGGAACCCGCGGGCCCGGCCGCGAGGCCTCGCAGACGCCGGGCCGCGTCCTGGCCGCGCAGCTGGGCCTGCAGCAGGGCGAAGGCGGTGAGCTGCGCCGCACGCCGGATAGGCCGCGACTCGGACAGGCGCTCCACCAGCTGCGGGTTGTGCAGCAAGACGCCCAGCAGCCGCCTTAGAACCATCGTTGGAGCGGCCCGGAACCCGGAGCGCCTCGCTCTGGCTTCCGACCGGCGGCGCCCGACGACGGACCGCGTCTGAGCCCGCGCCGCCGGGTGACGACACTGCCGCGCTGGGATTGGTCGGCAGAACCCGCTTTTCGCGTTTCCGATTCCGCCACCTCCGCGACCTCTGGTTTTTCCCGTCGTGGCGGCGTCCTCGTCGACCTCTGTGCACTATGTCCAGCGGCCTCCTGAAGGCGCTGCGCAGCGACTCCTATGTGGAGCTGAGCCAGTACCGGGACCAGCACTTCCGGGTAAGGGGGGCCGGACCGCGAGGAGGGGGGGCCCTGGGCCAGAACCCTGCGAGTTGGTTTTCCCCGGTCTCACTGTCGTCTCCCACTCTCTGGTTTCCCGAAACCCACTGAGGCCCCGGTGCCTGCTGGGGAAGGGATGCCGAGGGCGCGGGGCTGTCGCCGAATCCCCTTCTCCCATAGAAAGGGGGTTTGAGGCTCGCTCTCCCAGCCCCTCGAAGCCGCTCCCGGCGCCGGGCCCGTGCAGAGGCGTTGGAGCGGCGGTCGTGGCGGCCCCCGTTTTCACAGGCTGTGCCTCGGTACGGTGACTGCGCTGAGGGGAAGGGTGTCCTGGACGCCTGGAGTACCGGGAGGCGCCTTCCTGACTCAGATGCCAGGGCTTCTTATTTTTTATTTTATTGTAGTGAAAAATATGTGAGCATGTAAATAAGCAGTTATTTTGAACATTTTCTGTGGGAGTATTACAGGGGTACCCCGTCTCTGCAAACCCATGTATTATTTTTTTCACTACAAAGGATAAAAAGCCCCTTTATAATAATATATTGGTTCAGGGTCTGGAAATGAAACCGGGACCCTTGGAGAAGGATCCAGTGCTGAGAATATGGAGTGTGCAGGGGAAAGGCACGCCACTTGTAGGACGGCGTGGTACCGAAGGAGGGCTGCATGCAATGCCACCTCCAAGCCACGACCCGCTACTAAAAGCAATCTGGGCCTTGCTTCATAAATTGTGAACCAATCTCCCTCTCTCTCTCTCTCTCTCTCTCTCTCCCTCTTCCTCTCTCTCTCTCTCTCTCCCCCTTTCTCTCTCTCTCTCTCTCTCTCTCTCCCTCTCCCTCTCTCTCTCCCTCCCTCCCTCTCTTCCCCTCTTCCTCTCTCTCTCTCTCTCCCCCTCTTCCTCTCTCTCTCTCTCTCTCTCTCTCTCTCTCTCTCATTCCCCCCCAAGCCCCCGCAGAGTATTTGTGGTAGATTGGGATGATAAGAGAAGCTGATTCCGAAGCAGAATTGATAATAGGAATACTATTTAAGCAGGGCTGTTCTTAGATTGTGTTGCTTAACTTTTTCTCTATTTGAAATTCAGGGTGACAATGAAGAACAGGAAAAATTACTGAAGAAAAGCTGTACATTGTATGTTGGAAATCTTTCCTTTTATACAACTGAAGAACAAATCTATGAACTCTTCAGCAAAAGTGGTGACATAAAGAAAATCATTATGGGCCTGGATAAAATGAAGAAAACAGCATGTGGTTTCTGCTTTGTGGAGTATCCTTCCTGTGTCTTAGGTGGCTGTTGGATGAGGATGGGACCTCAGTGGTTAGTCACCTGTTTAAAAACAATGAGTGAGGATATTCGCTAATTAGCAATCCCTACACTTATCTCTGTCTCTGCTTTCATCTTCTTACCTTCTGTCCAGTATGTCTGCACTCTTACATTGTGAAAGCTGGTAACATTTACATTTTGTTCTTGAAATCCATGCTTTGTTTATAGTGTTTTTTTTTTAATCCTCACCCAAAGATATGTTTTTATTGATTTTACAGAAAGAGGAAGGGGGGGAGAGAGAAATCAATGTTTCTCTCACATAAGCCCTGACCTGAGAGCTCAGTTGGTTGGAGCATCGTCCCGATAGGTCAAGGTTGTGGGTTCGATCCCCAGTCAGGGCACATATAAGACTCAACCATTGAACTCATAAAATGAGTGGAACAGCAAGTTGATATTTCTCTCTTCTCTCCCTCTCTTAAATCAATAATAATAAGTTTTTAAAAGTCAAGGGAATAGTATCATTCTAAGCCCAGAGACAGTCAGTTACCAGTCTCTTGGGTATCTCCAGAAAAAGTCCTGTGCATGGGTAGCAGTATACTAGTCCTCTTAGTGATTGTTCCATATTAGCACATGTAGGTCTACCTCTTTTTAAAATGGCTCTGTAGTATGTATCATTATATTAGATGTATATAATTATATTAGGTATACTCATTATATTAGATATATATAGCTTGATGTTTGTAGATAAAAACCAAAACTGTATTTATAATCATTTATTCTCTCCCAGGAAACTAAATATTGAAACTTCTGGATTTATCTGTTTCTTTTCCTAATATTTTTCTTTCTTTGGTCGTTTTGTTTTATATTCTGAGAAATTTAAAACATGATCTAACATGTGAAATTTTTTCTTTGTCCTGAATGATCTGTTTCTTTTGGTTGTATTTATGCTGTGAATTTTCCATAAAGGTCTGGTGATCTTTGGGTTTGCAATCATAATGAGGGGAAAGAAGAGTGATTTTGTGGACCCAAGCAGAGCTGCTGTCTCCAGTTGTTGCCTTACCTTTGGATATGTGGGTTTACCAAATGCCATGAAAAAAGGGGATTGTATTTTGGCCAGCTCACATCAAGACTGTGCCCTAGTTTCTCCAGACAGTTTGTTCAGAACCCTATCATTTGATTTGTACTTGCCTGGGATTAATGCCCTCCTGCTAGCAAGCCTTCCCACGTAGACACTGTTAACTAAACCCTTTCTGCAGCTTCACTTTTTATTCAATTTAGTTAAGAGCCGCCTGGGTTTACTGTCTCCTTAAGCTCCTTCAGAATATTTCAGACTTTGTTTCATCCATGAACACTCTCCCATTGGCTTTTGTTGAATCACTAGTCTGCCGCTAGCCTCTTCTCTTTCCTGGGTGTATGTTTCTTTTCTAATTTAAATGGGGGTCTTGAGAAGGAAAAGAGGGAAATGTGCTCACTACCAGCTCGATCCAGAAGCCCCACTTTTGATTTTGGTGTCTAATTTCTGGGCTCTACAAGCTTCTTCCATTCTCCCTTCAGATGCAAGGGATCAGTGTCCACGTTTTGCTTTTGCCTCTGGTAACAGTAGTTCACAGGGGACAGGGAGAACAATGAAAACACAAAAGACAAAATCCTCCTCAAAGATAATAATCAGTCTCTGAGAACTAGTATTTTTGCATTTTTCTTGTAAAGTCAAAGATCAACAATCATAATGGCAAATACCCAAGAGAGAGGCTGCATTGGCAGTGTTGTTTTTCTGTTTGCCCTTTAGCATGCATTCCATTCATTCAACAAATTACTGGGTGTGGAACACTGGAATTTCAGCAAGTGTTTCCCTGTGTAATTCAAGACAAGGGGGAAAATGTCTAGATCAGCATTTCTGAGTCTTTTCCTTCTAATGAAATACAATGGCAATTCCATATGCACTGTGACCTGTCATAAGGTTGTTCTTGAATATACAGCTCCAAATATGGATGGTATTGATTCTTTAGATGAGTGCATTTTGCGGCATTAAACCTGCCCTGAACATATTTTATATTTTGCAATCAAAATATGGAGAGAATGGGACCAAATAGTTATTAACAGGATTATTCAGGAAATCATGATCAATGTAGCCATGGACAAGTGTCATATTTGACTCTAGTGCTTCTGGACCAACCTCAAACAGGCCTTTGCAAACTGATGTCTTTAAACTCCGTCTAGTTGAGTTTTTGTAGTTCCAAAAAGGTTTAGAGAAATGCTATATAGTGTTCCTTAATACTTATACTTAAGGTACTACTCAAGAGCAGATGCAGAAAATGCCATGCGGTACATAAACGGAACTCGTCTGGATGACCGGATCATTCGCACAGACTGGGATGCAGGCTTTAAGGAGGGCAGGCAGTACGGCCGTGGACGGTCTGGAGGCCAGGTATGCAGGAAGGTTCTCTGGGCTCAGCCTTTACCTGGGATTCCAGTCCTAATGACAAGTGTTTTTATTTGTATTTGCTCTTTTGAAAATAACTTTGTGCCTCTAACTTGGGCTTGAAGTGAATCTCAAATCACCCATTGGGATTAGTAATTACTTTCTTAACCAATGCAATGATATATTCTGTACATTACTGGACTTTTGCTAGAGGTTAGATATTTTCCACCTGCAAAAGTGTCTAGAACAAAAGCAAAATGTGCCCTAACTGGTTTGGCTCAGTGGATAGAGTCAGCCTGCGGACTGAAGGGTCCCAGGTTCGATTCCGGGCAAGGGCACATGCCTGCATTGCCGGCTTGATCCCCAGTGGAGGACGTGCAGGAGGCAGCCAATCAATGATTCTCATTGATGTTTCTATCTCTCTTTCCCTCTCCCTTCCTCTCTGAAATCAATAAAGATATATTTTAAAAAGCAAAATGCACTGAAATGAATTTTGTTTTTACTTTAAAATAGCCTAATTTAAGTACCTTGCAATGAGCTATTTTTGAATGATGGTGAATGAGTATACACCTGATGTTTGGTAAGAAACAAAACAAGAAAACCAAACTATGAGGTAGTCTGAGATAATTCTGCAAGGCAGTTGCTTTAAAAAATTATATCCTGCTTGAATGTTCATTCACATCATATCTGAAAAGTCTTGGCTGTTTGACATATTTATGGGAGGCATATTTGTTGCACCAATCTTCTCTATATTGTAACCTGTGTTCTTTTCATTAAGGTACGAGATGAGTATCGACAAGACTATGATGCTGGGAGAGGAGGCTATGGAAAACTGGCCCAAAACCAGTGAGCAAAAACCATCATGAAAAACTCACTCCTTTGGCCTGCTGAATTTGATGTACATTACCTAAGGTCTGCAAACCTGCCATTTTTACAAATATTTGATCACTGTCTCTACTGAGCCAGACACCACTTCATGGCTTTCCTCTGAAAATTATTAAAGGACAGAATCCAAAAGAATGCCTTTAATTCTAGTCTTAGAATATTGGGCATGTGTAAGGTTACTGGAATGATTTTCTTACCAGGTCAAAAATCGTGTTCCTTGGCAACGGAGTTTATCTATAATGTTGATTTATCAGCCAAAACACCACACGTCTTTTAGGAAAATTGGAAAAAGTTTACAATTTTGTTTACCGTGTTTGTGTGTAAGCAGGTTCATGGTCTACACATTGGGGCCTGTAATCATCTAAAAATTTTTTAGTTGCCTTGAGATAAAGTTTAATAAAAGGAGTTTTGTTATATTCATATCTTTGCTCTAAATTAGGATCAGACAACTGAATTTTTCCCTATGTTGAATGCTAATCTCTAAAGGCAAACTTAGGGAGTCAAGAGACCTTCCTAAAGAGTTGGTGCAAAAGTAAGCCTTAGTCAGTCCCAGGGTATACAACCTGCTCAGATGCTTTATATGTCAGGAAATTAGGCACAGGACTTGAAGGGTATTTACTAAGCACATTTTTTAAAAGGTGTGTTTTACCTAAAGCTAAAAAAAGCCAGGGTTGGTTTGTATTAGGAAGAACCTCAAATACCTTAAGGGAAGTGGGGGACATTGTCAGTAGGAAATGGGATGAAATATCAGAGGACACTAGTTAAAACATTGTCTTGACATGTTGAAGGTTGCTGTGAGGGCCATCAGATTTATTGTTTTCATTTTCAGAGTGATCTTGGGAATAGAGTAGGTCTGAAAAAAGAGCTTGAAGATTGAGAAACTGCCTAACGAAAAACGATCAGAAATGCTTTCCTCAGGAAATATGTTTTGGCCAATTGTCATGTTGAAGTCTGTTGTTTTTTTTTTTTTTTTACTAATTGTGCTTACTGAGTTTCAGAGCCTCGATAGCAACAGTCTCCACAGAGAGGAGTCTAGAGTATTTACTTTGCATTTGTAAGGCAAGAGGCGATTTCTCTCTAATAGTGTGTTGAACTGTTCTTTTTTAATTTATTGGGGTGACATTGTTTAATAGGATCATAGAGTTTTCAGATGTAGATTTCTAGGATACAAGATCTATATATTGTATTGTGTGCCCGCCTCCCAAAGTCAAATCTTCTGTCAACATATATTAGGTACCCTTCATCCCCACCCACCCATTCCCTTTGGCAACCACTACACTGCTATTTGTGTCCATGAGTTTCAGTTTTATATCCCACACATGAGTGAAACCATATGGTTCTTAGCTTTTTCTGACTGGCTTATTGCACTTAGCATAATATTCTCTAGATCCATCTGTGTTGTCACAAATGGCAGTATTTTGTTTTTTTAATGGCTGAGTAGTATTCCATTGTGTGTATGTACCACATCTTCTTTATCTAATCCCCTATCGCAGGACACTTTGGTTGTCTCTATTATTCATTTAAAACTGCTAATCTGATATAATTTTTCCTGACATAAGTGGCATTTTTTCATCTAGCAACAAAGTATCTCCAAACTTCTTGTAGTTTGTGGGGCTGAAGTATCTCAAATGTGAACATCTTTGACACTAGGTAAGTATAGGTTTTCTCATTACATTGAAACCGGTTATTTATAAGAGCTATAACTACTTGTAAGTGCTTAAGAAAAAAACATTTGCAGATATTTTAATTTTATGAGGACATACTATTGACTTTTTAAATTTCTTTTTACACTATAGTTTGAGTTTAATGTATTTTATATTCTTATTTTAGTAAAACATAACTGAGATTTCTACAGACCTTAAAACCAGACAGTGGTTCTACATGGAATTGTGACTTCTGTAACAGATTTCAATAAAGTTGGACCAACTTATCCTTGTCTGTGCCCATTTCCTCATCTATAAAGAGGGACAGTGGAACCATCTTACTCAGGAATATTTATGATTACGTTTGGGGGAGAAATCTATGAATAATGTGCAGAATTTGCATGCCCATTTTGATATGACAGTTATCTAGTATGGTAGTCACTAGCCACATGTAGCTAATTAAATTAAAACATTCAGTTCCTCATTCACACTAGCCACATTTCAAATGCTCAACAGCCACATGTGGCTAGTGGCTGCTGTAGTGGATGCAAATATAGAACACTAGAGGCACGGTGCTTGAAGTTCATGCACGGGTAGGGTCCCTAGGCCTGGCTAGTGATCAGGGCTGATTGGGGCCTTCCTTCCAGCTGCTGACTGCTGGCCAGGGCCTTCCTTTGTTCCGCGCCAACCCCTGGTGGTCAGCACTCATCATAGCGAGCAATCGAACTCCCAGTCTCTGGTTGAACTCCCAAGGGGACACTTTGCATATTAGCCTCATATATATAGATTCCATCACTGCAGACAATTCTATTGGACAGTGTTTTTTAAGGATAGGCTGCTTGGAGCCTTCATTGGTCATATTCATAAATGAGTGCTGTCATGACTGAAATGTCACTTGGAAAATTCCTACTCACCAAACAGTACATGTTATTTAATACAAGAGCACACACATTTATAAAGGCATTTCATTTATTTTTCAAAAAAATATTTTTGCTAGAAGGTTTGAGTCATTTTACATGATCACAACCTTTAAATAAATTTTTTCTGACCAAAAGGTACGACTTAAATGAACAGCTTGTCTAGGTCTGCTTTTGTAATACCCCAATACAATTAGCACTTCTCTGATGGTATTCCCTAGGCCGCCTTAATTGTCTACTGGCCAGGAGGCAGAGCCCCGCACATAAAGTATGTGCTTTATAATTACAGATTAGTTTGGTTTCTTAACATCAGTAAGCAGAGCAGGTAGTCAATATATCCAATTCACACTATTAATACACTTTCTCGCCTGATGGTTCTGATCCACCCAGAACTCCCAGTTATCTCTTTTAAACCAGTGAACCACAATTAATTGCAGAGAAAGGGCAGCTCAACTTAGACTAGTGCTGGCTGTTCTGGTTTTCCAACTATGAATTCAAGATGACCAATGTTACTCGTATTTAATGATAAATAGAAAATACAATGCAAAGCCAAAAAAGGGATTTGGGGACTCTGAGGAGCAAGTGCTTTTTCCTTTAGGAGGTTCCTTTCCTTAAGAGAAGGTTTGTTCTCTACAATTCTTGCAAGAGCTTAACTAAAAGAATTAAATCTACATTCATTGCTATACATTTAACAACAACAAAAAAAAACCATTGGAAAGCAGCAGCTACAGACTGGTAAGTTTGCTGATGGAGAAAACCGGGCAGCTTGTTGAAGACACATCATGAGTAGCTTTTACTTTGTACAAGGCCTGCACTCAAACCCCAAAAGCATAAGGTCTACCCACCTTGTGAGCAACAATTCAGGGCCAAGTTAGTGCCAGTAAAACAATGTCTGTCCCTTCCACCAACAGTCTAAACTGTATTTCAAAAATGTCTTTGTTGCAAGGAAGCAATTATTGCAAACATCAAGAAAAAAAGGCCATTCTAATGTAGGACTTGGCCTAGAGGTTTATAACTAATCACAAGTGGGGAACAAGTGACTATGTGCTAAAACCAAGTTTCATGAATGCAGAGAAACATTTTAATCAGACTTAAAATATTTGTAATTTACTCTAAAGCATGCTGAGCAGTGCATCTCAAGGTGTCCCATAAAGCTGGAAGTGAATGAGAAATGACTTGGACAGCTCACTTTAGGTTCTCTGTGAACATCCCTGCAAGCCTCAATGTGGAGATGATGAACAGTTTCTCAGATTGGAGGAAATGGCAACTCAGGCTTTGGGCACTAATTAAGATTCTGCATGCCGAATTCTGTCAGTAAGGAAATGAGATATGGAGCTCTAAAGTATAAGATGTTTTGAATCAATAGTCTAGTTATTGGCTACTTTGTAGAGCTACAAAAAAAGTTAGGTAAATGTATCACATACAAATTTGAAAAATCTCATTTTGCATATTTTATGTCTGAAAACAAAATCTCAAGAAGAAGTCCTCCCCATTTTAAATTGTAATTTTTTCTAATGCAGACACAACCCTATCTATAGCAGCATGAAGTGCCTCTAATCTCAGTCTTTTTAAAGACTTGAAGCACAATAAGAAATACTGACCTGGTTTTATACTAAAGAATTTGAGTCTTGGGGGACTTAGGAAAGTGCTGAGGCTGTTTACACTGTAAACACTGGTGTTGGTGCTTGGTCTGCCTGGGGAGGGAACCCTGCATGTAAACATGTCTGACTCCACCCGCTGCTGCTGGCAGTCAGTCCTACCTTATGGCCAAGTTAAACTGCACATTTTAGCTTTTTATTTTCAACACCTAACTAGGCATAGATCCCAAGTGTCTTCTGCCATTTTCTTGGTATTTTTCTGTACAAACTTCTAAGTTTCTTACATATGTACCTGTTTTTCCTGCCCAGTTCAGAACGGATAATTGGGTAATTTAACATGCATCTTTTATTTCCTTCCAAATGCCACAAATAGCTAGATTGAAGATGCAAGATCCATTACATTAACCCTAATGCAGTCAAGTGTAAGAACAGGGCCACTTCTGCCTTTCTCCAGAAGATGAGGTTCATATAAGCAAAAAAAAAAAAAGGACTCCTTGATCAAGCAGAGGCCAAATGAGGAGCCCTGCATGTTGCTGAGATCACTAAAGAGCTAAGGGGGAAAAAAACAAACACTTGCTGTACTCCTGAGGAATCAAGTCTTCTCTATTAACCGTTCCTCTTCCCGCACCCACCTGAAAAAGACCTGAAGCCAGTCTTCAGTTTTGAATGTTTATATTTTAAATACCCTTGAAATAAAAAGGTATTTGGCAAATCCTAATTTCTTATGGGAGATAATACAAGGGAAGTGTCAACTTGTAAGTTACTCTTAGGCTGAATTCTCATTTGTTTGACCACTTGTTTTAGATACTAAGTTTTTTAATGGGTCAAAAACAAAAATCTAGGGAATTCAGTGTTCCAGCAAAAGCCTTTGTAAGACTCAGGCATTTCTTATAATTCTTCTCACATGTGCCTCCAGGAAGAGAACACACCAGTTAGTTTTTGGCCACTTCCTTCTCACCCTTCAAAAGGAATGCAACTCACGTTCCCAGACTCAGAGAGGAAAGTCAGTGAAAGGTACTGCTGGTAAAAGTAAGACAGGACTGGCTTTGTCAAAACAACTAGCTATCCTCTATGCCCAGGGAATACCTAATACTCTCAGAGTTATGTTGTATCAAAAACATCCCATATTTTTTAGGTTTTGGGATTATATTTGAAACCTGTATTCAGTTCATATCTAAGTTTCAAAAGCTGTACCAAATCTAGGTTTTTTTTGTGTTTTTTTTAATACTCTGCACTGCATGCTCTGTCTATATGCATGCGTTTGGATAATAAATATTAAATATGGGGTGGGGAGAACATGTGGAATTCATAAAGTTAAAACTGAAACCAATCTGAACATTAAAAAATAGTACATTGTAGTTAGAGAAATGAATAAGGGCTAAAAATAAACTTGAGGTAACAATAGTGGCCCAATACCACCAATCTGAAATATCTGTTAGAATTCAAATAAGTGTTTGGAGATTCAAGTAACAAACCATCTGCTCCAACTTGGTCAGACTTCCCAGCCTTGCTGGGTTTTAGTCCATGAGCCGGCATTCACACAACTCCTTGTAAATCCTCTTCCGTACTCGGGGCATGTCTTCTTGGGAAAACTGGAAAGGCTGATCTAAGGCGAGGCACTTGCAGTACTGCAAAGGACCCAGAAACATTAAATGGCCTGTGGCGTTATGTACCAGCCCAGCGTATTTTATCAGACGCAGACCTAACAAATAGTCTAAGGCAGCATTTTAAAATTTGTTTAAACTTGTTATAAAGCACTGTTTTAAAACATTTACCTCCAAATTATAGTTAACCTTCCATGTAAGTACATGGCCTGGGATGTCCCCCCATCCCCACTTAATACTATGAAAAGGGAAACTGACAAGAGGTTCCATTTCTTCTCAAGGTACAACTAGACCTCACATGGCCTATAACTGAGAACTTGAATTTTTCAAACCCCAGACATTCATGCGTCATATGAATGAGCCCATCTTCCCAGATCTTTGCAGTTCTCTAAATTCATGGATGGTATACCATAATTTCCTTCACATATATAATGTATAACAAAATTTCCAATAGCCCTTGATCACTAAGGGAACCTACAGTATGAGAAAGCACAGCTAAAGACCACTTGCCAATGGTTAAAAATACATAGTTAATTCTTCAAATGCCAAGGGTCCATGATATGGACAAATTCAGATCAGTGTCCAATGTGGCTCACTACTAACCTCTGATAAGACATGTATGTTAGCAATTACTCATTCTTGGCCTTCAAAGATGGTTCTTCCTAATGATAACATCTGAAAATACAGAAACTACTGCTTCTTAACAAGAAAGGGAGGAAGGGAAAGTACCCTGTTAACTGTAGCTAGTACCATGTACACATCGTGGGGACTCCCATCGCTCCTCTCTAAACCCAACAAATTTAATTCACACATTGAAAATTCTGAGGTTTTTTGTTTTTTTTTTACCTGGAGCACAAAGACTCCACAGTCACTGTCATTTTTCTGTTGTGGAATACACTGTGGGGGAAAAACAAAATGATCATTAAAATAAGACTAAATAATACTCTTCAGATAAGAAAATTTATTTTTATAAAAAAATAAGCAAGAGACATGAAATGTATCTCTATCCAGGACAGCTGGTGTGTATCACTGGGTTTTTTTTATATATATATATTTTTTATCACTGGTTTTTAAAGTGTTTGATTTTAGCCCTGCCCGGTGTGGCTCCGTTGGTTGAGCGTATCCCATGCACTGAAAGGTCGCTGGTTCAATTCCTGGTCATGGCACATGCCCAGATTGTGGGTTCAATCTCCGGGTGAGGTGCATACTGGAGGAGGCAACCAATCGCCTCTCTCTCTCTCTCTCTCTCTCTCTCTCTCTCTCCTCAAATAAATGCAAACGTATTTTTTTAAAAATAAAATGTTTGACTTTATGGAGGCATCTGACCACATGAAAAAAGCTATCAATGAACCACAATTTATAGAATAATATTTTGCCTAGATATAAGAAATGGGAAACAAAATAAAATACTATTTAAAAACTTCCATTTGGATAATTAGTTTCGCTATGAATATACTGACAATGGAATTGTGGATCAGAGAACATGTGCCCAGACTCTGAATACTTAGACAGTAATAATCCTGCTTAGCAGTCTTCACTTTTCATCTCATATTACACAACTCAGCCCTATTCTTCAAAAGAAATTGTAAAGGTAAATAATATGTTTTCAAAAGAACTGGTTACTGTATCCTGTCTAAAGTGAGAATATGAAAGGTCATGACTAAATTTAAGAGAATACCTACATATTCTAGTTGGGTAAATTCAGAAAATTTACAAGTTCAATTCTAGTTTGAACTAATATACTAAGTTATTTAAAACATAAAACTGAAGCTTAAGTTTCAAATTTAGCACTTGGTTCAGTTCAACAATGAACAAATAAATCTTATCTATTTGTTATAAAGGTTTGTTTCAAAACCCTGCCTTTATAACGTGTCAATGATCCAGACAGACCTGAGTTCAAGAATCTGGTCCTACCAACAGCTGTGGTGGCCTCTGGGGAAGGTCATACCTAGGCTTCAGTTTTCTCATCTATAGAGTAAAGAGGATACTTATCCCTAAATGACCCACTTACCTCACAGGCTGTAAGGATCATCAAATGAGATCACACAAGCAAAAACACTTTGAAAACATGAAAGCAGTGACCATAAGACACTGGTATATGTAACAGGATTGAGAGCTCTGCCCTAGCGCTGTGCCCCATGTCCAGCTTTAAGTGTCTATGGGCCAAACAGTGCTGCTTCCAGATTGTGCTCACACTGGAACACCCAGGCCACTGTCTTCCCCAACTGCCTGGAAAGTAGCTCAGTGCACTTGCTCCTTTTAGTCGATCCAAATAGTTGTTTCAGTATTTTCTCTGGGTCTATATGAATCTCCTGGAAATAAGAGCTATGAGGCAAAGGCAGATGCCACCAAAATTTTTTTTATAATAATCATATCATCATAAAAATAGTATAACCATATCATTAGCAGTTGCCCCAGGGATGAAATTACTAAACTTATTTGTTCTTAGCAAGCATTGGGAAACAACAGCCAGATGATGAACACTAAGGTTTTGAGCTTCCCGGGTCTTCATCACCAGTTTAAAAATGCTTTTAAAGACTCCTACTTCTTTGATAATTCCATCCCCTTGATATGCCTGGGTTTTCATATTTATCACATACTTACCTTTGTAACAGCAGTCTGCCAACCCTGAAGAAATTCAGGTCTATTTTTTTCTCTGGCTTCAGTCAGCAAATACTTTCTTATATTCTGGTTAAAAAGAAACAACAATACAGATACTATGTTCCATCAGTTGGTGAAAAATGGAACCTGCCCACAGCACACACAAGCAGAAGAGGAGACTGTGGCCCCACCATTGGGCAGAGTATGCATGAACAAGTTTAAAGCCGGAACTTTATTTCAGACCTTTCACTCTATAGTATTAAGAAAGACTCTGACCCCCTGTACTCAGGTATGTATGCACTTAGACTGTGGACACTGATATATGTTGTAATAAGAACTTTTTATGAGATAGTCAGCCTTTTTCAGCGGTAAGTCAACCTGCTGAATTTCGAAGTTAAAAATTACTGCCAAAGCTCAATAAATGGAAGGAACTCATGGTAGAAATCATTAATAACTGAAACTAAATGAAAAACATTGTTTCCATATTTTTGAGAACTGCACATAAAAGTATCATTCAATTTGCAGAGTTATAATTAAACCCATTCTAAATACTAAACAGAGTCAGAATCCTGAAATTTCTACTAAGATGAAGCCTACTGAAGTTTCAAATTTTCCCTCACGCCCTCAACCTCTTCATGCATCTCTCTCTGTGTATCTCTTCTAAAGAGTAAAGTTGGCCCTGGCCAGTGTGGCTCAGTTGGTTGGACATCATCTTGTGCACCAAAAGGTTGCTGGTTTGATTCCTGGTCAGGGCAAATGCCTGGGTTGCGGGCTCAATCCCTGGTAGGGGGTGTGCAGCAGGCAGCTGATTAATGTTCAGCTCTCCTATCAATGTTTCTCTTTCTCCCTCTGCCTTCCTCTCTCTCTAAAAATCAATAAAGATATTAAAAAATAAAGTAACTGATCTTCCTTGAGGGGGGGGGGGGGAAAGAGTGCAGAGGTTTCATGAATTAAATTAACCCCCCTAAAGGCAGAGTAGATGTATGTGTGTATACATAAGTGTGTGTTTGTATATATATACACACATATACTAGTATACACACATACGTATATTATGCATATATATTTTTTATTGCCATAAACATGTTATACTGTATCATTCCTGCAACTTGCTTTTTTAAACTCAATTATGTCTTGGAGATCTTTCCATGTTAGAACGTGGAGATTTACTGTATTCTTTTTAACTGTAATGATCAGTTTAACAGTATGACTATAATGTACATATTTAGCTAATCTGTTGGCAGAACTAGATTTGGGTTGTTTGGATTTTTTCACTATTAGCAATAACGCTGCAACGAACATCTTGGTGTATGCCTCATTCTTGTATATAAATACATATTTTTATGGAGTAGATCCCAAGAAATAGAATTGGTATGCAATAATTTATAAGGTACTTAGAACTGATTAGAATTGCAACTGTTCAAATATACATTCCACCAGAAATATGAGAATGTCTGTTTCCTTACACCCACATTACCAACTGAATACCATTAAATTTTTCCTGATATAGCAGGCAAAAAATGGAACTGTATTTGCATTTCCCATATTTCCTGTAAGGCCAAGCATCTCTCCATACATTTAATGGTTATCTGCATTTTTCCTAAAAATTACTTATTTTAACCTTTGTCTATTTCTATTAGATCCTTCTTTTTCTTAATCATTTGTAGAAGTACTTTATGTATTCAGGACAGTGACTATTATATGTCACAAACACTTTCTTCAAGTCTACTTGTCTTTTAACTTTATGGCATACAGAAGTTTTAAATTATGATATGTTATAATTTATCAATCTGTTCCTTTATATCTTTTGCTCTTTTGGTTCTGCGTAAGAATGCCTTCCTACTCTAAGAACATCACATTTTCTGTATTTTACTCTAACTTTTACAGTTTTATATTTAGGTCATTATTCCATCTGAAACTTGTTTTTCTAAATAGTATGAAGTAAAGATCTGTATTTTACTTTTCCAAGACGACAGCTAATTTTCCCAATGGCATATACTGAATAACCTGTCCTTTCCCAACTTTATCATACACTAAGTTTCCACATATGCATCAGTTGTTTTTAGATTCTTTATGCTGTACCACCAGTTTACTCGTCTATTCCTAAATAAATATAAACATAGTTTTCATTATTAAAACTTTATGACATAGCTCTGGCTGGGTAGCTCAGTTGGTTAGAGCATCATCCTGATATGCCAAGGTTGCAGGTTTGATCCCCAGTCAGGGCACATACAAGAATCAACCAATGAATGCACAGATGGGTGGAACAACAAATCAATGTTTCTTTCTCTTCCTCTCTCTCTCTCTCTCTCTCTCTCTCTCTCTCTCTCTCTCTCCAAAATCAATAAATATTTTTAAATTTTAATTTAAAGAAAAAAATTTATGATGTAGTTTGACATGTAGTAGACCAAGTAATCCTTCCTTCACTATTCTACTTCAAAACTATTTTAGCTGTTCATGCACGTGAATTCTGAAATATGAATCCCATGACAAGCTGATTAGGTTTATTTCAAAATCCTGATGGGAAACTAACTAGGACAGAAATTGGTATATATTAGTTTGGGGAGAACTGATCTCTTTCCAATACTGAGTGTGTCTATCTTTCCATCTATTCAGATTTCCTTTAAATACTTTAGTTTTCATCTTTAAAAATGTCCACATTTTTTTTGCTAGGGTATATTCCTGGGTAATTTATGTCTTTGTTGCTTTTGAAAATGGAATCTTTCTGTTTTCAGTCACATTTTCTAACTGGTTCTTGCCAGTGCAGAAAAATTAAGAAACCTACTGAATTTTCTTGCTTTGTATCCCCCCATCTTGTTGAACTCTCATATTTGCCAGTTGATTCTCTTGGTTATAATTCATTCTAAAGAAGTTATTTTGAAGATACAGGCAAATTTCAGCTCTAAAGAGAACGATTTCTATCCACATTCAAAATAAAGTGTTAAGGGAAAGGCATAATAAAATGTGATAACATCCAAATGAATCTCAGAGAGGATCCAGATTACAGACAGCCACCTGTCCTCACGTGGAGAGTCCTCTGGCAGTCCTTTTCTCTGCCAACATTTCAGAGGGGTTTTATGAGAGAAATCGATCCTCCGTGATATCTAGTGCTAAGATAATATTTGGTCAATCACAAGATAAAGGGGAAAAATGGGCATTATATTAACTTACCTCTACACAAAACTTAAAATGAATGCCTTGCGAATCATAAAATGAAATATTTCGGTTAGAAAGTGTCACAGTAATGAGAGACCAGTGAACTTCCAGGTGAATAGGAATCAACAGAAGACTCTTTTTAAATAAATCCACCTAATCAGGAAAAGAAAAAGAAATGCAGCCATCACCACAGGCTATCCAAATCAACAATAACAAACAGCTGCTTCAATTTCCTGACCTCTGACTTGCCCAAAGTCATAAAACTTGGAAGTGGTGAAGCCAGAATTTGAACCCAGGTCTTAGTCTGAAGCACATATAGTAACTATTAAGCTATAATACACAATAAGAAAACTGATGATATAGAAAGCACCATTTTCCATTTAACCTGCTAAAGCTGTGCTTATCAACTGCCAGATATGATTTGGCCCCTTATTTTTATGCTTAACTAATTTTCTTGTGTTCATATTTAACCTCGACTCAATTCTTATTTAGGAAGGAGTCATGGTATTAGAAAATATGGCTATACAGCTTTTATCTTTCTACAGACTCAGTATAGTAGTTAAGACTGTGGGCTCTGAAGTAAGTCTGGTCAAGTTCAAATTGTGGCTCTTCCACTTACTGGCCAGATAACTGGCAATTTTCATAGCTTCTTTGTGCTTTGATTTTTTCAATATAAAATACAGATAACAATAGTACCTACCTTATAAAGTTCTTGAGAGTTATAATAAATGTAAAATGCAAAGAACTGTGCTCAGCACATGATACGTAACTAATAAATCTTAGCTATTACCATTATTACTACCTTGGGTCTCCCAGGTGTCAAAATTGAGAAAAATAGCCCTGATAATACTTCCCATATCCTATACATCCTAATTCATCCTTTATATCCCAATATGTCCTTTGCTATCTAGGAATATTTGCTATTCCACTCAAAATCCTAGTGTGGATGATACAGTAGTAGGTGTTTAATAAACATTTGTAAGAGAGTTAATAAATTTCTTTTTTTTCGGGTATTTTTAAAGGTTATTTTAGATATTCCTTGGGTTGAAACAATTACAAGGCTATTTTAAAATACATCAGATTCTTTTTATTTTTTAATTTATTAGGGCGATACTGGTTAACAAAATTATACAGGTTTCAGGTGCACAATTCCACAACACATCACCTGTACACTGTACTGTGTGTTCACCACTCCAAGTCAAGTCTCCTTACATCCCCACTTATCCCCTCCACTACCCCCCACAACCACACCAGATTCTTAGCAATGTTCTCAAGCCTTCCTTGCTTTCTGATATCCAGATAATGTCCTGCTCTAGATGAATCTTCTGCTAGTCTACATGACCTTAGAGCAGTGGTTCTCAACCTCGGCTGCACATTAGAATCACCTGGGAATCTTTTTAAAATCCTGATTTCTGGGCCTCATCCTCTGGAAATTCTGTTTCTTTGTTATGGGGTGGGGCCACAACATTAGTAACAAAGAAACAGAATTTCCGGAGGATGAGGCCCAGAAATCAGGATTTTAAAAAGATTCCCAGGTGATTCTTATGTGCAGCCAAGGTTGAGAACCACTGCCTTACAGCAAAGCACGTTAGCACTTCTGCTTTTCAGTTTTTGCATCCACAAACCTGGGAGGTAGACAGAAGGGAATATTAGAAAGGATTGATAACTGGTTCTTTCCAGCTCAAAAATTTTGAATATCTAAAACAAGGAATCATTTAAAATATTGTATTCAATTACACCAAATTTATATTCTTCTCAAAAAGAAACTTTTGGGGAGGAATATACAGCCATGCTGAAGCTTCCTACAGAGAGAGGTAGCCTCTGGAAGCTGAGGGCTCCAGTCCTGCCACTATAGGAACTGAATTCTGCCAACAACCTGAATGAGCTTGGAAGATGAGAATGGAGTCTGGCTGAATCCTCGACTGCAGCTTATTGAGACCCTGAGCAGAGGATGCAGTTAAGCCACGCCTCGATTCCTGAGCGTGGGAACTGAGATAATGGCAACATCTCAGCATATGAATCTGGGAAACGGGTGAATGAGAGTGGCCCTGCACTGTTCTCAAGGAAGGGCATTATATAATGATAAAGGGATCAATCTAACAAGAGGATATAGCACTTGTAAACATCAATGCACCCCAAATAGGAACACCTATACATAAAGCAAATATTAAGTGGAATAAAGAGAGAGATTGACAGTATTATAATAATAGTAGGGGACTTTAACCCCTCACTTACAATGGATAGAAATAACAAGGAGCCCAGCCAGTGTGGCTCAATGGATTGAGCACCGTCCTATGTACCAAGAGATCACTGGTTTGATTCTTGGACAGGGCACATGCCCGGATTGTGGGCTTGATCCCCAGTAGGGTGTGTACAGGAGGCAGCTGATCTATGTTTCTCTCTCATCGATGTT